TGTGGGGTGTGCAGGAGGCAGTCTATCCATGATTCTCATCACTGATGTTTCTCTCTCCCTCTCCCTCTCCCTTCCTCTCTCTAAATAACAATATTAAAAAAATTGTCTTCAGTGAGAGCATATTCCTTTAATTAGAAAACATCTAGTATCGCTTCTCGGCCTTTTGGCTAAGATCAAGTGTGAAAACACCTAGTGTTAGGTTTTTAAAAATGTCTCTGGTGGTAGAGTGGCAGGTACAAAATGAATTTAGTTTTGTGGGTATTGCAATTTGGAGCTTATTGTTTTATCTGCTACTGCTGCACTACTTAGATTGAGGATACCCTTTTGGGCTGGAGTTTAAGACTTTGGTAATAAAACAGCATTCAGTGTTTCCTCTTACTAAAATAATCCCGTGGTTAGCACATGGGCACCAAGGGACAGACTTGCTGTTCTTTGCATCTGAAGATTGTGGATTCATTTATGACTGACTAACTCCGCACTCCTCTTTCTTCTAAATATTTTGGACTTTTAACATGGACAACACAGTGATCAATAGAAAGCCAGCGCCCCTTTGAGACCTTGGGGTGCGTTCATGTGTTGTAGATGTCATTCTGGGCCTGCGCTGGGGGTTTCCCAGTGCCTTTCACTAGGAAGGGGAGGAACCAGCTTCTTGGGTTAACTACAAAAATGACTCTGTGTTTTAGGCGTAGAAAAAGAGACGTGCCAGAAAATGGAGAAAGATGGATCTGCCGTGCCTGTAAGTTCCTAAACTTGGCGGGGGAGGGGGAAGTTAAGTGGAGCTCAGGTTCTTTCAGCATTTGTTTCGAAGCTCATGCTAAATCTTTAAATAAATTATGACCATTGTTTGGTGATGGGGATGAAATATAAATAAAACACAGCTTCTTCACTTGAGGGGCTCACACTCTATCCCGAGATTCCCGGACAGTACCCCCTAGCGCATGTGCAGCTGAGCACTTGATGTAGCTAGTCTGAGTGAGATGTCCTGTAAGTGTAAAAATACAACCAGTTTTTGATGACTTGCATAAAACGAAGGGAGGTAAAATGTCTCTATCTTTATATTGATTACATGTTGAGATGATAATATTTTGGGCTAACTAAACTATGTTATTAAAATGAGTCTCACCTGTTTCTTTTGACTTTTTTGAATGTGGCTGCTGAGAATTTTTAAATTGCGTATGGCTTGCATTATATTTATTTTGAACAGCACTGGCAACAGGTACAGAATGGAAACGAACCACACCTGTGGTGAAGTTATACTAGAATGTGGTCCTCGGGGCTGTGGGAGCCGGGGCTCACCGGCTGCGTGGCAGGTGGCAGGAAAGCTGAAGCTGTGCTGATGAGAAACAAAACAACTTAAAGAACTCTAGAATAGATACTGATATTTTCCTTACTAAGAAAACCAAGTTAATAGAATGGTCACATCCTTGATAACACAAGGGTCATGGGTGGCACAGGGACGTTAGTTCCTAGAGATGGGGATTCTGGCTTAGAGTAATAAACACTCACAAAAGACAGACTTTAAAAGGCATTAATTTAGAATCGGAAATGTAACAAGGCGAACCAAATGTGTTTGCCTAACGTAGTACGTTATCTCCCTGTAGGCAATTACATGGGAAGCAAGACTACGGGAAAGCCTCTTGATGATAGACATGGCACAGGAAGTAATAGAATGATCACATGTCCGGGGTGTATCAGTTGTCCACAGCAAACATGTATTACGCCAGCATTTTTGGATCGGAAACCCTGGGATGACTCCAAGTCTCATGGGCTGCAGTCAGGTGTAGACCAGGGCTGCGGTCACCTCCAGGCTCACTCATGTGGCTGTTGGCCCACCTCGGGTCCTCACTGGCTGTTGACAGAGCCATCAGTTCCTTGCCACATGGACCTCCCCATGGCTTCTCACTGCGTGAGAGCTGGAGTCTTTCTGTAAACAAAGTGTCACACCATGACTTTTACCATGTTGTGTCCTTTACGAGTGAGTCCTTAGGTCTAGCCTGCTCCAAGGAAGAGATTGCCCGAGAGGATTAGTGCCAGGAGGTGGGGTCACGGGAGCCATTTTAAAGGCTTCCCGCCACAAGGGACTGTTGGCTCTAGTGATAGCTCTGTCCCAAGATAGTGTTTCTGAGGAGTTTTGGACTTCCGTCAGCATGTGGTCCACCCTCCCCCAGATGCTGCTGCAGAGGGGCACGGCCAGCCTGGGGCTTTGCATTTCCCTTTCTGTGGCCTAAGCCCAGAGTTTCTATACCGGATGAGGTCTGTGAAGCTGTCTGCACAATTGTGTATTTTTGAGTATTTTTTAGAGAAAGGATGAGTCTATAATGACCCTGGCAAGTTTAAAAGCCACTGATCTAAGTGAACCTTGGACTTTATGTTCAGTTCTGGTTCAAACAAAATACCAGAGAGCTGATTGATTATGAGAAATAATTAATAGATTAGTTATACTGACATTTAAGATTATTCCTAGGTCACTTTGGCTGGCATTTCAGATGTTACTTGATGAGCTTTTCCCCCCATTTATACAAAAAGCTTACTTGTATAGGTAAGGGGCAAATAGCCCCAAAAATGCTTTCTAGGAAGGAAGATAGTACAGAACCTATATTCTTGTGAAAAATAAAATATTAACCATATGTGGCTCTCTAGAACCCGGGTTTATGATAAAAACAAGCTGGTGTATCAGAAAGTGCAGTGCTGCCAGACAGGACTGAAACACTAGCAAGGAAGAACCAAAAATGGGAGCGTGGGCACGTTGTCAGGAACAAGTAATGGTGCACACCTGACGGCATCACTGGGCTGGGCCACATCACTGCAGAGCAAGGACTTTCTGGTGATCCTGACTCGCGCGGGCTGGGTGGGGTCAGGCACATTCACCATTTTTGCCTTCCTGGGCCTGAAACTTAGTAAAAAAAATTTTAGAAATATTTCCATCCAAAGTGACTACATAGACACACAAAGCATCAACATGTAAAAAAAAAAAAGTTGACTTTCTTTGGGAAATGTATTTACATGGAACACATCATCCCCAGAAACCCCTTGAAAGATGAGCCACGAACCAGGTAGTGTTCTGTTTTTTGCATGTAATTCTTTAGTGACTGATCACTATGGTAATTACACTTCCTTTTGGGGGCTAAGAAGAAAACTTCTCTAGGCTATCTGTTAGACAGCAAGACACCCTGATAATCCTTAGAACAAGTTTTTCCTTTAGATAGCACTGTAGCTAGACTTGATTTTTTAAAAACCCTGCTGGGTTTTTATTGTGTGTGTTTTTTTTACTCTAAACATGTTTTTAAAGATTGTGATCAATGTAGCAATGAGGAAATTACTGAAAGATGCTTGGGATTAAGAAGCTGAAGATTAAGCGTATTAAATGTAACCTCTTCCTCGACCCCCCCTACCCCCCCAGGGACCATTGGAGTCCCCTGTGGAGGAGGCCCCCATGTCCGTGGCCTGTGGCGGAGAGAGCCCCCTGGATGGCATCTGCCTCAGTGAATCAGATAAGACAGCCGTGCTCACCCTGATAAGAGAAGAGGTAAATGCTTTCTTGTTCCACCCACTTATCGCTCCATTCTTTGTGAAGCCATGTGCAGCGGGCAGATTCCATCTCTGCTGGCCTCCGTTATCCCCGTTGGAAGTTCGTGTTTCCTGCAGCTTGTTTAGCTCAGATAAAGGGCTCCCTGTAAAACGCCACGTTGGTGCTGGGGTCCTGACATTGTGGTGTCCTCTTTATCTTTTAGCCTTGAAATTTTAAATATCAAAGTTTGCTAACTTTATCCACATGAGTTTGTAAATTAGTGCCTTCATTTTACAGAGCACATTAGTATGTAGTATGCTCGTACATAAAAATTCCTTAAATTCTAGACTTGCACTAATATACAGCTGTTTCCTACCTTCATCCATTCTTTAATTCAACTCTCAAATACCTTTATCATGTTTCTTGAGCAGCCTCTGTTCAGAAATAGGTCACTGCTAGGCCTTGGATGATCTGAAAAATATGAAAGACATTGTTATATACTAGTAATCAGTTATCACTGTCTCCTGTTATATTTCTGTGCTATATTTATGTACTTGGCTTGTGTATTACTTGATGACTCCACCCTATTTTAAAGCAGGTGGAGCAATTTTATTTTTATAATGAGATGAAAGTAGTTAAGTACCTGTGATACATGTCTCTTAAAGCTTTAAAAAATGGCATTAAGGACCTAGCTGGTTTGGCTCAGTGGATAGAGCACTCATTGACCTGTGGACTGAAGGGTCCCAGGTTTGATTCCAGCCAAGGGCACATGCCCGGGCTGTGGGCTTGATCCCCAGTAGGGGGCGTGTAGGAGGCCACCAATCAATGATTCTCTGTCATCATTGATGTTTCTATCTCCCTTTCTTTCTGAAATCAATAAAAATATATATTTAAAAAAATAGCATTAGGTTGGTAATGAGAGATGTCAACTAATCCTGTTGTCAGCTTGGGTGCAGTGGTGAGGGGTCCCGCCCCCCCCCCCCCCCCCGCCCCACAACCCCCCCCCCCCCCCCCGCCCAATCTCGTAAATGAGAAAAATGACTTCACCTTCCTCCTGAGAGTTAAACTATGAGATGTCCCCCTCATGGATCACAGGAAAGATGGAAAGATGTGTTTAGTCACCAAAGCAGATAAGCTGGCTTCTAGTATCCTGATTAAAGGCACCAAAGTAAAAATGTACCAATTAGAAAGAGAGAAGCACAGAGAAGTAAATAAAAAGAGAACAAGATGTGCCCATCCAAGCCCTGTGCAAGGCAAGTGGAGTTTCAGGCAGTGAATTTAGATAATTTCTTTTCCATTTAGCATGGGCATCCCATGGGTTCTGCACAGCTTATAGTGAGATGGATGCACTGGCTGGAGGCATTGAACTTCCGACTCTTTCTGAGTCTATTTTTATCAAGCAATCAGAAATCTCTGCAGAAAGAGAATATGCTGGTCGTGCCAACTTCTAATGCTCTGACTTTGTGGCAGTTTCGTTTCTCATCCTAACTACGATTGGTGCACTGGTGTCTCCTGGGTTAAGGGGACTGTCTGTCAGATGACGCTCTGCTCTGGATGTCTTGTCCCAATCTGTGTTCTAGGCCTACAGAGCGAGAGCCAGACCCTGGCCTGAGGTTGAATTTACAGAGAACTTAGTTACCAATTGGAATTTTCCTAGGAGATGTTCTACTCACCTTTACTCTGGTGGCTACGTTTCCAGCATCCCATGTGGCTAAGAGTATTTTCCTAAATGCTTATGAGCATTAGATAGATGATGAGGTTTTACATTCCTAATGTATTGTGAATGACTTGGGAGGAACTGTTTCAAGTCTCCAATCTTAAATTCAAGCTGTAATAGATTGAGTAGGTAAAACAAAGCTTTCTCTCTATTATAATCTAGATAATCACTAAAGAGGTTGAAGCAAATGAATGGAAGAAAAAATACGAAGAAACCCGACAAGAAGTCTTGGAGATGAGGTGAGATTAGAGGTTTGGGGAGGTATTGGATACCTTTATGCATTGTTAGATTTAATACAAATGAAATGATGAAAGTATTTGCTTATCACAGAACCAGCTATTGAGAATGTGGGGCTATGCTATTTATACCTTAATTTGAGATTGATAATATCATTCCATGAGCATTGCTCACCAGGCATTATATTCAAATACTGTAGTTTATTTTGCGGTGTTCAGAACATTACAAGTAAGCAGAACTCACATAATTCTTATCTTTGGAAATAACAAATTTGTGTAAAAATATCCCTTTGAAATACAGAGTAATAAGATTTCCTGACATTCAGTTATAGAGACATTATAATTCATAATATGTCTTTAAAATTTATCTTTATTGTTAAAAGTATTACAGATGTCCCCTTAACATAATACTTTACAAAAACTAATTATTCATGGTAGCGTCAAATCTCATAACCAATAAATAGATTATAAAAAGCATGTTAACAGGAAACAGAACTGATTGACATTTTAAAATTGAAATCTTTTTATTTTTGCTGCTCACTCTCCAAAAAGGAGATTTAGGAGCCCTGTAATAACTAGAGATGGCATCAAAGAAGAGGGGAAAGGCTTAAATAATTTATACAGTCAGCACTTGAATAGGAAATATTTTAAATAAATAAGTCCATGTTAATTTGTGTCTCTTGTATTATTATTTTAATTTTTAAAAGATGTTTTTATTGAACTTTTTTAGAGAGAGAGGAAGGGAGAGGGACAGAGAGAAACATCGATCAGTTGCCTCCTGTACAAACCTGCAACCTGACTGGGAATTGAACCAGCGACCTTTCAGTGCATGGGGCATAGTTCAACCAACTGAGCCAAACTGACCAGGGCTATCTGTTTTTTGTTTGTTTGTTTGTTAGTTTGTTTGTTTGTTTTTTGAGCATTTACTGGGTGGACGTTGCCATTCTGGAAATGGTGGAGAAGAAGGAACAGCCCCTATCTTTGGAGAGCTTATAGGAGCTATATGTATTAGAAGCTTGGATGCAGGGTCAAAGTGATGGGCACGACCAGTGAGGAGAGGGGGAGCCATCGTTTCTCACTGAGGGATCACAGGGAAGAGCACCCATCACTTAGGCCAACATTATTGCATTTCACTTAAAGGAAGGTTTACATGACAGGATGATCTTTGAATAACTGTGTTGCTTTGGGGATTAGGATAGTAAAATAAAACTTGTAAGTAAATCAGAGGGGACAGATGTCAGAAATGGTGGATTGCGGCCAGGAAAGCCTGAACACAGATCAGATTAGGAAGCCCCCGCCCCATAATATCATTATAGTAGTTCCCCCTTACCCACCACCAATATGTTCCAAGACCTCCTGAAACTGCAGATAGTGCCGAAGCCTACATGTACTTTTTCCAGTACATACATACCTATGATAAAGTTTAATCTATAAATTAGACACAAAAGATTAACAATAATAACCTATAATAAAATAGAACAGTTTTAACAGTCCTATATAATAAAAGCCTAATGTGCAAATCGACTGAATGGCAGAACCACTGGTCGGCGGGGGGCGGGGCCTGTGAGTGGGCGGCCCCGGCCATCCAAACGGGTGCCAGTGGGCAGAGGGTGGAGACGGCGATGGGGGGAGGACAGCGGTGGAGGGGCTATCGGGGGGGTGGGGCCAGCCATCTCCCTCAGAGGGAGGCCACCGGCAGCAGCGCATTGGGAGGTGGGGCCAGAGCTGTCCCCTGGTAGTCAGTGCCTTCCCACAGGGATGTCTATGGAGAGTGGACCTAAGCCATCAGCCTGACATCCCCCAAAGACCCCAGGACTGCGAGAGGGTGCACGCCGGGATGAGGGACATCCCAGAGTGTACAAATTTTTGTGCACTGGACCTCTAGTATACTATAATAAAAGTAATTTGAATGTGGTTTGTCTCTCTCAAAACATCATCTTGTACTTTATTCATCTTTTCACTTAAAGGAAACACTTTATGGCTTCTCTTTGGCAAAACTGAATTGCCAGCATCAGTACTCTTGCACTTTGGGGCCATTATTAAGTAAAATAAGGGTGACTTGAACACAAGCACTATGATACTGAGATAGTTGATCTGATAATCCAGCTAAGTGACTAACAGGCAAATAGCATATGCAGCTTGGAGACACTGGACAAGGATGATTCACATACCAGGCAGGACTGAATGGGTTGGTGTGTGATTTCATCACACTACTCAGAACAGTGCAAAATTTAAAACATTAATTATTTGCTTCTGGAATCTTCCATTTAATATTTTTGGACTGTGGTTGACTGAGGGTAACTGAAGCTGGAAAGTGGAACCACGGGTAATGGGGGACTACTGTAACTTATTTTGTAAAAGATTGATTTGTCTAAGCAAACTTAAATCTATTGCCTGGAGGTAGTTGTTTCTACAAATAGAATGAAGGCTTATCTATGCTAATAAAAGCCTACGTGGTCCTCATGCCCTCGCACGATGCCCTCACGTCATCCAAAGATGACCGCCACAAGATGGCTGGCAGGGGAGGGCAGTTGTGGGCGATCGGGCTGACAGTGGAGGGCAGTTGGGGGCAACCAGGCTGGCAGGGAGGGCAATCGGGGGCGACTGGGCTGGCAGGGGAGGGCAGTTGGGGGCGACTGGGCCGGCAGGGGAGAGCAGTTGGGGGTGATCAGGCCAGCAGGGGAGCAGTTAGGGGCGATCAGGGCTGGCAGGCAGAAGTGGTTGGGGCAGGCAGGCAGGCAGACAGGGGAGCGGTTAGGAGCCAGCGGTCCCAGATTGTGAGAGGGATGACATCCCCCAAGGGGTCCCAGATTGGAGAGTGTGCAGGCCCGGCCGAGAGATACCCCAAACCCCCTTGAACAAATTTCGTGCATCGGGCCTCTACTTAAACATAAAATCTTAAGAAAAATCTTATTGAACATTAAGAAATCTTGTATTAATGTTAAAAAAAGAGAGAGATCCAAAATGCATAAATGGGTTACGTAAATCTGTCAGTATTCAGGGTGCTGCAAAAATAGGTTTACAGTTGTGAGTGCGCAAACCAGATGTTATTATTGTATTATATTAATTGTATTATTTTCCAAGTGAACAGCTGTAAATCTACTTTTGCTCCACCCTGTAGGTTAATGTGTTTAATTGGGAAAGTATTTCTCCAACTTCTGTTGTCTACAAATTCTCCTCTGATAATAATTTTTTTTTTTTAAGGAAAATTGTGGCTGAATATGAAAAGACCATTGCCCAAATGATTGGTAAGGACATTTTTTTCCTAGGGTATGAGCCATAGGATCCATAGATGAATTTCAAATCAGGATACAAACTTCACTTTGTCCATCACTTAGATACGGTTGATTCTCATTTGCATTAGTTATGTTTTATGAAGTTGCCACCAACACCGAATTAGCAAACACTGAACTGTTGCTTCTAGGGAAGTACAGGGTTAGGTTCCTGCAAGCTCTGGTCACACTGTTTTAAAATTACATAATCTTGTCTTATGTGTGCTTCTGTTTAAAGACATTTTATTTTATTTTATATATAGTGTTGATTCATTAATATTGACCTCGAGGCCAACAGTGCTATATAGCCCATGTGTGAACAAAACTTACTGAGCATGTATTTTCCCCAGAAGGCACATCACAGCCTTCCTGCACTTAGGAACTCTAGACAGCTCTGTAGCACTACACTTGGGAGCTTTTTTAAATACAAAAATCACCAACAGAAAGTGCGCGCACGCACACTCACACTCACACACACACAAGCACTAAATAGACTGTGGAAAGGACACTTGTTTACAATATAAAGCGAGAAAGCATCACCTTTCTCAACCTCAGCTGTTCTGCACATGTCTGTGAATGATGGGGAATGCACCAGAAGAACTGATTTGGGGGTTACAAATATATTTTAGTAAGTAGGTAGATTCACAGGTGTGGAATCTGTGAGTGACGGGCATCAGCTGTAGTTGGGTTCATTTTAGAGGATGGCAAACACTGGGAGTCTGTGAAAAGCCCTCCCCCAGTACCCAGAGAACTGGCAGCCTAGCACATCGTTCGTACCCCCAGGTGGTGCAGTGCCCTCACTCTACTGCTAGTGTACCTTCTGGTATCAGACCCATGGTGCCATTCCAAAACATCAGTGGTTGATCGTCCTGCACTGGATTTAGAACTTCCTGGCCAATGTTGTAAGGACTGACTTCTGAAACCAGTCAGGTCTGTCTCTACTTAAGCATTGAAGTGGTATTTTCTACTGTCCTCGTCACCTAATACCTTCCCAGCACGTGGCCTTTGCCACAGTTGTTCCCCTCATCTGCTTGGAATCTGTTCAGATCTCTCCTGAGTGAGTCCACGCTCTATAAAAAGGGAACCCCCCCCACCTGCCCTGCCTTGTTCCCCCATCACTTGTCACCACATCTCTCTCCCATAGAAGGTAAGTCTTTGAGAGGGGGGACTTTGTAATGTCCACTCTGAGTCCCACCAGCGAGAACACTAGCTCAGGAGGGCAGCTGCTAACTGTTGATTGAATATGCCTTTGCTTTTGATTGTGATTCACAGAAGATGAACAGAGGACAAGTATGACCTCTCAGAAAAGCCTCCAGCAACTGACCATGGAGAAGGAGCAGGCCCTGGCTGACCTTAACTCCGTGGAAAGGTCCCTTTCGGATCTCTTCAGGAGATATGAGAACCTGAAAGGAGTTCTGGAAGGGTTCAAGAAGGTAGCATGTCCTTTCTTCTGGAATCTCTTGCTGTGGTGGTAGATCTTTAGATGTGTATGGCAGAGGAGTATGGGTAGCCTTTTAAATTGGGTTTTGGGGCCCCTGTTGGCCTGTATCTTCTGTTCCAGGGAAGCTGGAGGATCCCCTCCCCGCTTTTCTGTGTGGGTGGTGTGTCTTGGTCATTCCTCTCCTGGGTCAGGCCAGTAAACCCCAGACACAACCAGAGTGTGGCATGGAGTATAAGAGCCGTGGAACCCTCGGACTTTAGGAGAATTCTAGAAATGTTCATTTGATAATTCGCCAACTTAATATTAGTAAAAGTAAAAGGGATTCTAGACATAGCCCTGGGAAATTCAGGCTGCGTATTCTAGAGAAAAGTAAAAAAAAAAAAAAAAATCAAATGTTTCAAATTTAGGTGTATTGACTTAATTTATCATCAATGAGATAACATTTATAGCAGTGAACATTCTTTTTGTCCATATTAAAATAAAAATGAGACTGGCTAATTAATCTGTGGGAATCAGATTGCCATTCAGAGTTGAATAACTGCCTTCCTAAAGCAGGTGTACTAATGTAACTGAACCTTGCTGTATGAAAATTAATATATGCCCCTTACCTACACATGACGAAATTATCTAGAATTTCTTGGGTAAGTTTATTTGTGCCTGTTTCAAATTACCATACAGTATAATTTAAAGGCATCTGAATTAATTGGGTTTCCTTGTTTTTAAAAAAATGAGAACTCTGATACATGGTCTGTCACTAGCAGCAGAAGAAGAAAATGACCCGTTTCTTTTGTTTCCACTTGTCATTTGAGAACAGAATGAAGAAGCCTTGAAAAAATGTGCTCAGGATTACTTAGCCAGAGTGAAGCAGGAAGAGCAGCGGTATCAGGCTTTGAAGATCCACGCAGAAGAAAAACTGGACAAGTAAGAGCTTGCACATAAGAATGTTACTTTTCATGATGTGAGAAGATTGATGGAGGCAAGGAAGAAATCACTGTTTTGCAACTCTAGATGGCGTGTGTGTGTGTATATTTACTTTTTTTAAAAAATATATTTTATTGATTTTTTTTTTTTTACAGAGTGGAAGGAAGAGGGATAGAGAATGAGAAACATCAAAGAGAGAGAAACCTCAATCAGCTGCCTCCTGCACCCCCCCCTACTGGGGATGTGCCCACAACCAAGGTATATGCCCTTGACTGGAATCGAACCTGGGACCCTTCAGTCCGCAGGCCGATGCTCTATCCACTGAGCAAAACCAGTTAGGGCTGTATTTACTTTTTTGAATAGGTAGAATCTTCCCATGTTCTAATATTAAAAAGAATAAGAAGATATACAGTATCTCCCTCCACACCATGCCCACTCCCCTGGGTTTCCTCCTCTTTCCTGACCTGGGGTCATCAACATTTTATCCTCCCAGATACTCTTTTATCCCCCTCTGCTTTCTCCCCCAGCTTTATTGAGACATAATTGACATATAACATTGTGTAAGTTTAAGGTATACAGTGTGCCAATTTGATATATTTATGTATTGCACCATGATAGTGTTAGCCAACACCTCCATCATCTCAATAATTACCATTTTTTAATATTGTGAGAATCTCCTTTTTTATACAAATGATAGCATACTTCGCTTTTCTCTTTTAGCAATGTATTTTGGAAATCTTCCTATATCAATCCATGGAGAGCTTCCTTACTTTTTAAACAGCCATGGCGTGTTCCGCTGTTGGAGTGATCATTCCATTGTTGGAATGTCCCCCCCGTTGGACCTTCAGGTTATTTAAAATCTGCTACCAACAGTGCTGCAATAAGCAACCTTTTATGCTTATCATTAGGCATGCATGGGAGTTATCTGTGTGGTAGGAAAGGACTGTTGGGCCAAAGAATATAGGAATTTATACTTACGGTACTGTCCCGTTGCCCTCCTTAGACTATTATTTGTTAATATTCCTACACAATGTATGAGCGTCTCTTTTCCCTGCAGCTTTGCCAACAGGTCAGATTTTTGGTTTTCTGCAAATATAATAGATGAGAAATGGTATTTTGGTGTAGTTGGTTGGGTTTTTATGGTTGTTGTTCTGGGGGGTTTTTTTTGGCAAGTAACAGAGCATTTATTCATTGTAGTTTTGATTTATGTTTATTTTATGAGTGAAATTGGACATATTTTAGCAGCTGTCCATACAGATACTCGCTTCACTATGAATGACTGTTCTTTGCCCATTTTTCTATTGTCAGTTTATATATGTGTTACCTATAGCACATTATTATACTTATATATTAAGGATGGCAGCCCTTTGTGATATGAGTGGTGAATAATTTTTCCTGCTTGTCAGCTATCCTTTGGCTCTGCTGGTAGTGGTGTGGATGTGCAGACATGTATTTTTGTTAGTGAAATTAGCAGTCATTTTTCTTACAGCGTCAGGATTTCCTGTCATAGGAAGAAAGATTTCCCCTGGGCTGAATATAAAAAGTTCTCCCGTGTTTTCTGTTTAGTACTTTTATGGCTTACTTTTTTAATTCTTAAAACCAACACATTTGGAATTTATCCTGGGGAATGGTATGAAGGATGCATCCAACTTTATTTTTTAACTAAAAACTAATACATGCGTGTACATTTTGCTCACTGTCCTCCTATTTGTAAGACCTTTTAAGTTCCCCCTTACCCATTGCCACTCCCAGAGGTACTGCTATGGAAGTTTATGGTGTATCCTTCCAGTCTTTGTGCCTTTACAAATACTGCCCATACTAGCTTTGACTTTTTAAAAAGTATAATGGAGGCAGCATATTACAAAGTTTCCTTTTTCATTTGATAGTATAGCATGGCCATTTTTCATGTCAGAATATACAGTGTAATCTAACTCACCATTGTGCCAGGGGGAATATTGCTGTGGATGGATTACTAACGGGGCACTGCTGGCCCAGAGTGTGTATACATGTTGAACTGTAGTGGTTACTGTCACATCACCCTCCACAGAGATGGTCAATTTTCATTCCCTCAGGGAGCTTGTTTCCTTGCATCTCAGCCAATACGGGACAAGATCATTCTTGTTAATTTTACCCAGTCTGACGAATTTTAAAGATTTATCACCTTAATTTGCATGTCTCTGATTACTAGTCAGTTTTTACCATCCTTTTGTCAGTTAAGTGGCTATTTATCAACTGACATTTATGTTTTTTAAAAAGTGTCCTTTGCCCCGCAATAGTAAAGTCGCTTTAGGACTGTGTCGTAAATGAGATGGTTAGTATCCTGCGTCTTTAGCTGTGATGATCCCGAGGATGATCCTACCTGCTATTGTACTGGGTTAAAAACCCCACAAAACTCATTGATTGTTGTAAAAACGGTCATGTGATTCCATTTTCCAGTGACATGAATTTTGAAGGACACTATGGCCTTTGAGATTAACTCTACCATTGGTTTGCACCGTGCAAACTTGCCTAGCAGTTGTATGTAAATTGAGTGTTTATAAGTTAAAATTGAATTATTTAGGTCATCGACTCCTTTTGTTTTCTCTTGTCATGAAGTCAGTTCGTTTAGGTTGTTTCATAGATGTCAGTGGTTACTGTCCTGACTCTTTGGCAGTGACTGATGACTAACCATGTGCTTTTTGTCCCTTTATTCTACAAACAAAACACAAACAGAGCCAATGAAGAGATTGCTCAAGTTCGAACAAAAGCAAAGGCTGAGAGTGCAGCTCTGCACGCAGGACTCCGGAAAGAGCAGATGAAGGTGGAGTCCCTGGAAAGGGCCCTTCAGCAGAAGGTACGAAGAGGGGTGTGGCCACAGGGACCTTGGTTCCGGTCCTCCGCAGTGGCCAGCTTGCGGTGGATCTGGATGAAAGAGGCCTCGCCTTTTTGTCCAGACACTTCAGTCCAGTTCCTTTCTGAGCCAATTCAGGGGGAAACGAGGCAAACCAGGAAATTCCCAGACACATTGGTGGGAACTGTCCACAGGCAGGGTGCAGAGAGGAAGTGGCATTAACTAAACTTCAGGGACCAAACGCTGTTTAGTTGGGCTCTTAGGCTCCCTTTTAAAAAAAGTTCTCTGTGTGTGTGTGGTGTTTTTGTTTTGTTTTTTTGTTTTCTTTAATGTAATATAAAAGCCATCTTCCCCTTAATTATCATTTTACCGTGCAGGGCACATTTGGCAACACCTAGAGATATATTTGGTTGTTATGACTAGGAGATGCTACTGGCATCTAGTGGGGAGAGGCCAGAAATGCAGCCAAACATCCTACAGTGCACAGAACAGCCCGGCAAGGAAGACGGACCCAGCCCCAAATGACAGTGGTGGGTGGTGGAGCAACTGGTGTAGGTGAATAGTGGTGACAGTGGTCCCTAGTGCTCCCGGCTCAGCGATCCTCAGGCTTTGGTGGCTGTCTGCCTCTAGTGTTTTCCTTCCTATGTGACCTCCACTAAGTTAGGACAGGGTTCTTACCATGGTGTCTGACAAAAAGTCAGACAGAGTTCCTGGGATACGAAGACTCAAGCATCCCAGGTCGCTGGAGAGATGCTATGGATTGAGTGAGGCCCAGATACTTGTGTTTTTAACAGGTACCCTGGGTAATTCCTATGATACCAAGTAAGCCTGAGAAGTAAGGGGTTCGTGGACAAGCTGCAGAGGGCCAGCGACTACCCTCACCCCTTACTCAGTTTAAGCATAACTTTGTGCACTTGGGCATTTTCCAGGGGGGAAGGTTTAGCGCTCTCCTTTTCTTAAAGGAGAAAAGATGTAGAAAGAGCCCCGGAGTGAGAGTAGAGCCAGTCTGGGGACTGTTGGTTATAATTTCCTTTATCTCAGGACACAGTTGACCTGCACAGTCGTATCACTTGTCTTTCAGAACCAAGAAATCGAAGAACTGACGAAAATCTGCGACGAGCTGATTGCAAAGCTGGGAAAGACTGACTGAGTTTCCCCTGTTCGCTCAGGGGATCTGCGTTTGGCTGCTTCTGTCGTGACCACAGTTATCTTGCCTTATCCAGGAATTGTTGCCCCTTTGCAGAGAAAAACACTTTGAAATAGCACATCCCACTGCTGCCTGTCCCGCTTTGCTGAGACGCACAGCCCTGGCAGAACCCGGGAGTGTTGCACCGTCGCCGGAGTGGCAGCCGGCCGTCCTGGAGTCCTCACAGCACCGCCCATGGTCTGGTAGACAGGCTGCTACGTTGGGTTTGTGATTTCTCTGTTTTGATTCATTTTTTCTTACAGCTATGTACTTTATTAATATTTTCACACCACAGCTTAACATGAACAGCATATTCTCCCATACTTCAAAGATTCCCATTGCCACATATAATTCACTCCAGAGGCATATAGGTTCTGAAAAATACTGTTCTCAGTGATGGGGAAGAGCAGCTTTTTAGGAACTCTTCCTGCTTTACCATTTAAAAAAGGCTCATGGCTGAGGAAGCACCCCCACCTTTCGTTCCCTGGAGAACTCTGAGCTAAACTTAATTCTTTCAGTTCTATGTTGCACACATATAAGCAGTTCGGAACTTTGCACATGAGCAGGAATCAAAGTCAGATGCAGAAGTGGAATTTTAAGGACCATTTATATATCAGGGCAGAAGCACCACTGGGATTCCCATGACGATGCTATTCTGAATGTGCTTGGTGCCTTCTATTGCACATGCCAAAGGTCAGTTCTGGAGAAAGCAGAGCATGCCATGAGTGAGCTAGACAAGTCCCTTGGCCTCTTTGTACCTTAGTTTCCTTATATCTTGTGTAAAAGCTGCATTCCATGCCAGGCCTGAAGTGTTCCAAAGCTCACTTTTGTTATTAAATTGCAACCATGACTTATATATTGCAAAAAAGGAATGCTGCAAACGCATTCCTTTCAATAAATTCTATTTTATTGCAGGTTAAATCTAAATACTGGAGGGAAAGCAGGCCTTCACATGAACCCTCACATAATTCTCTCAAATTATTTCCACTGGGATTTTACAGCATCATCTCCTCCACCCATCTCCCCACAACCGCTCTGGGCATGATCCACTGAGGCGGGAGGGAGGGGAGGCCTGCTGCAGCCCTGGGTCCAACCCCACTCCCGCACCCCTTTTAAGTGTTCACCCCTTTCCCCTTCGTCCTAACATGGCGCCACCACAGCCTGTCTTAATTCTTTTGGAAGTCCACTTTGCTTTTCCAACTGCGTTAAAATTGTGATTTTATGACTACGATTTGGGATCATCTCCTGTTCACCATGTCTCTGATTTTTTGTGTGTGTTACATATTTATTTCATCTTTTAAATTTAATTTTCAGTATTGGTGGTTTTATTTGAGGAGGTAATTTGGCTTTTGTTACTTTTAGTTTGTAAACAAGAAGGGGCTCTGAGTATCCATTTACATACATACACAGACACATATATTTACATATGCTGCTGTTTTCCCCTGAAGTATAGTCAAATAAGAACCTACAGAAGAGCCTATTTCCATAAATGTAGAAACTTATTTTGGAATAGAGTCCTGGCTCAGAACGCCAGCTTCAGGATTTGGGGGGATTGAACATGTGGAAACCCCCAACCCCTGTCATGACTCATGACCCCAGCTCAGGTTTCACGTCCAGGGAAGACTTCGCCATAATGTTTGTTCCTGGTATTGGACACTTCTCAGCCGTGGCGAGTGTGAGCGTGGCCCCCCCGGGTGGGTCTGCAGGCTGACAGCGGCTGCTTCCTGCAGGAACAGCTGAGGGGGGACTCTCTCAGACCTGGGTGTGGCTAGGCCGTCCTAGAGCCACTTCTTTGCTTCACTTGTTGCTACAAAACCAATATTTCCTCTTGATTATTTGAAATATGCTGAGAAAATCTACTTGAAAAAGGTTTAGATGATCTTATAATTAAAAGGTAATTGTAATCCCATCAGCAAGTCAAGGGGAAGAAACAGTTGTTTTCCACAAATGGGATGTCTTGTTCTTCAGATTTTTTCTTTTGAGTAAAAAAAAAAAGTCCTTTCAAACTTAAGACAGAATTTTTAACAAAACAGGCAGTAAACATCACGCGAACCACTCTGAAAATCAGCACATTGTGAGTATTTTTACACAGAGGCCGTTTGACTAGTGGAGGCGGGAGCGCAGGGAGCAGGTCCGCACACACAGAACCCACGTCCTCAAGCTCTTCCTGGGCTTGCTTCAGAGGGGAGAGGCCGCTAGCCCCCAAAGGAAAATCCCCAGCGTTTGAGAGGCAAAACCAAACCTGCAGGAGTTTTAAAGCACTCTTGTCTTAACCTTAACGCCTGCAGTCTTCATGGTCACATGCACTGTGTTCAGTACCTGTAAGTTTTCGTACTCTTCCGGTAAAACTATTGCATGATCCACCTTCAGCAGTGAATTGTGCCAGGTGGAGAACCTCTGTAAGTCTTTAAACGCGGATTTTCCTTTAGAAGTGTACTGTTCACAGGGGTGCAATCTTTAGCCCCAAGGAGGTCAATAATGCCTTTTAAAGCCAGAAGTCACATTTTATCGATATGCGCTTACATAATTGGTGCTTAGGCTGTATTTTAAAGCCTATTGTCTTACCACTTTGTACAAAAAAGAACAACAGAAGTGATGTGTGGTTGGAAAGGTGACAGGACAATCATTTGGGCTTTGAAAACAGTCCCGGGTTAATGTGAGTGCTGGGCTGCAGTGTATTTAGCTCAGTGGAGCGAGGTGTCTCCAGGTGGCGCCACTGATTTCCTCCTTTGGGCCTCTCCTACCAAGAAAAGCAACTGCGTTTTGCAGAAAGAAACATTGCTAAACCTTTTTGCTGCTGTGTTTTGGTGACATGTCCATGTTTACCTGCTTTCTGTTGATCTGTTTTAAGCATGGAAGGCTTATAATGGTCTCCATCGTAACTCCTGGTCCTCTTTTTAGGTTTCTTGTGTATATAAAAAGGTAGCTCTGTGTTAAAACAGGTGACGACAATCCTCCCCCAGCACATGGGTAAAAGAGATTCCTTCAAAACTAGACCCTAGAGTGAAGTTGCTGCACAAGGAATACGAGAGGACCCCAGTGAAGTAATATTTGCCTCTGGTCTCTCAGCCCTGAATGACCGTTACAAGAATATGTTCTTCCTTCTAATGTAATAGGTGGATATTCTCCAACGAGAATAAAAATGTAGCTTGTGCAGTTGGCAAATCAAGAGACTATACTGGACAGAATAAAGTATATTTCTTTATTTTTCCTAAAAAATAAGCAACAACCACAAAAAACCCACAAAACAAACAAATCAACTCCAAACTTTTAGAACTCTGGAGTAAGAAGACAGCCTAGAGTTGGCACTTAGAGAGCCAGACTCCTTATTAGGCAATAACAAACACTGTTACAAAAGTGAAAAGACCTGAGTGCAAGTTGCTGACCTAGATTGTGGTTGGGAAGTATTTGGTGATCTTGTTGAGACTCTGGGTCCAGAGACATTGCTTAAGTTTTTTACTTTGTCAGAGTGTAGATAGGTATATAGTCTTTTTCTTAAAGTATTTTAATTGGAGACTGAACGGTTTGTTGCTTGGTTAGCCAGTTGGTTACAGTCAGACCTCCTGACATGCACTATACTGGGGGGAAGCTCCTGAAGGCCCGCCCACACCTTTTGTTCCGTAAAACTGTCCTGGAAATATTGAGAAGCCTGGTTTTCTCACGTGGTTTCCAGCTTCCTCAGACCCAGCCCAAATTAGGAAGTGCAGAAACACATCGGAGGCTCTGGCTGCCTTCCAGTGTGATACGGAGTCTAAGGAAAGACTGATGTTTGGGTTTGAGGATGGCCCAAGTTGAATTCTCTTTCCAGCCAGTTACCCTTTCCACCTGCCCCGCACTTTGTGCAATTCTCACAGCAATACCGAAGTCTCCGTGGGACAGCCCAGAGGTAGTACTGTTTGTGAATGGGAGGAGTAAACCCCCAGTGTTCCTGGGCTGTCTGTCTAAAAGCGGCCGGAGGGAAGCACTCACTTTAAATAAAAGTAACCAAGGGCTTGCTGGGGCTTTAAAGCTCAAAATGGAATTTTTAACGAGCAAGCCTCGGCAAACTTGTGTGCACCAGTTGGAAGTGACCCAGCACATCCTTTTCTCGTGGTGTAAAAGCCCCAGAGCTCCCTCTTTCTCTCCTTTTGGTTTTTCACTACAACTAGCAGTCATCTCGCTGAACCGTCTTTTCATTGTGGTTTTGTGACCAGGTGAGCTTGCTCTTGGACTTCATTTCTTACTTTATCCCCTTATTGGAAATAGAGAAACTAGGAGTTGAAAGAGTAAATGATTCAGCAAAGGATTTTAAAGTAAAGATGTATATATTCTGAAGAATTTTAAAGATAGCAGATTA